AAAAAAAAAAAAAAAAAAAAGGCCTTAAGAACCTAGAAAATCAATTCCAACCAAAACAACAAGAAAAAATTTTCCTCCAAAAGTTGGAAAATGTGGAAAGGTGGAAAAAATTTTGCTATCAAACATGTGCAAAAGTTAGAAAATGGAAATCATGGCTATCAAATGGGGCCTTAATGTATGAATTGATATTTGTACTTTTCAAATAGGTAGTATAGATTATGAGTCAATTTTTTTTGTTTGCTAACATAATTTATCATTATTATATGAAAAATTTTGTTTGTGATGGAATTTGAAATTGTCATCAGGGGTATTTTGGTCTAAATTTTATCAAATGAACATGGACCAAATTTTGGACATTTTTGCAAAAGATCATGTGAAAAGTGAATATTTCTTGTAATTTCCTCTACTTAAAATCTATTTTGACGGGGACAAGTTAAATATGCGAAACCAAATTCCAACCAAAACAACAAAAAAAAATTTTCCTCCAAAAGTTGGAAAATGTGGAAAGGTGGAAAAATTTTTGCTATCAAACATGTGCAAAAGTTAGAAAATGGAAAATCATGGCTATCAAATGGGGCCTTAATGTATGAATTGATATTTGTACTTTTCAAATAGGTAGTATAGATTATGAGTCAATTTTTTTTGTTTGCTAACATAATTTATAATTATTATATGAACAATTTTGTTTGTGATGGAATTTGAAATTGTCATCAGGGGTATTTTGGTCTAAATTTTATCAAAATGAACATGGACCAAATTTTGGACATTTTTGCAAAAGATCATGTGAAAAGTGAATATTTCTTGTAATTTCCTCTACTTAAAATCTATTTTGATGGGGACAAGTTAAATATGCGAAACCTAATTTGACAAGACTACAACAGCATGTTTGTTTGACACGCAATATTGAATAGAATGTGTATATATATATTGTTTCGTTTATTTTCTTTGTTTTGATTTGGATTAAGAACAATGTTTTGAAAAGACTGAAAACTAAGTACATTTTTATTTTTTATTCTTTAGCCAATTTAGTTATTATTTTTAGAAAAAAGGAAGAAAATATTTTTAAAAAGAAAATGAAGATATTTTAGTGGGGTCCAAAGAGAAAGAGGGAAGATATTGGGAGTTAGAGAATCTCCAATAAAAATGTGAATTCCACTATAAAAAGTGTGCTACATCATTCTAAAATGTTTACATGAAAAAATTCCTAACCCATTATTGTGAGGGGACCGCACAGCAGTATATAAATAGCAAAACTCAATTTTGAGTGTAACTTTTTCTTTTCATGACAGTGACAGGGTCCCACCTCACTACACATTTCGCTCTTTCTCTCTCTTGCACTTTTTGTCACTTTTTCTTACTAATTTATTATTTCTGTTTGCACCTTTCTTCTCCGACTTCTTAGAGAGAGGAGACATTCTTGAAAAGGTTTGATAACTTTTTCTCTCTGTACGGTTTCATTTGTGCATGAAAGCTGCGGTAAAAAAAGCTTATGTACTTTGCTTGACTGGTAAGTATTTTATTATATTTAGCCGTCTTGGCTTTTACATTAGGTAATTCTTTTTTGGAAAATGGGCTTGTTTATTTTTGGTTTCTTGTAATTTTTTGTGTAACGATCGAGGATAGTTGGAGAATTCAATTTGTACTCGTAGATTTTGATAATTGGGTTTTGTTTTTGGTGACGATTACTTGGAATTTTCCTTGAAATTTTTTGGTAAATATTGGGATTCATGAATTATGTAACTGGAATTTATATGAATTGTGTTTTGAGCTGATGCCTGGATTTTCTTCTGAAGGGTTCCCTTTAAGTTACTGCATTTTCCCCAATTTTTTAAATTTATAAAAAATAAAGACTGGATAGGTTATTTAATTTGAGTTCTGCCCAGTTCAAAAGTTGTCATCTTTTTGTATGATTAGTGATGATTAGGAATAAAAGAATTGTAGTTGTTTAAGATTATGCACTTTTGTTTGGATTCTTGATTCCCAACATGCAGGAGCACCACCCCAGTCTGAGTAGTTTGGCATCTGTGACTATAATAATATGTTTTTTCTTATGCTGTGTATATATCAAAAAAGAATTTGTTCCTAAAATTTTAACAAAATGCGATAAATCTTCCAAAAGAATTTGTTCCGAGGGTCTGGGATTTATTGTTAAATTTTAGCTTGCAAAAGCCATTTTGTTCCTTGTTTAGGCAAGGTGAATGTCATTTTGTTTTCGGTATTGCCTTCTTTTCCTAGTCTTTCGTGTAGATTCAAGTTGCAGTGGTGCACAATCTTTTTCTCTTGAAAATTATATTATCCGAAGTCCCTCATTTTCCAATTCCGATTTCCTTTTTCTGCCAATGCAGACTTCAGCTCACAACAACCGTTGGTTCTCTCTGTGGAAAATCAGCTCTAAATTATCTGTTGAAAATCTGCATTTTGTTGGTTTGAGTAAGTCATTTTACAAATTGCGAAATTGGACAAAATATTCAAACGTAGTTGAAATATGGGTTATCTATGTGATTTCTGTGGGAAACAAAGAGCATTTGTATATTGTAGCTCAGATGCAGCAAGCTTATGTTTATCCTGTGACCGCAATGTCCATTCAGCAAATGCTCTCTCAAGACGTCATCAACGTGCACTCTTGTGTGAGAGATGCAACTCTCAACCGGTTTTTATCCGATGTTTTGAGGAGAGGATGTCTCTTTGTCAGAATTGTGATTGGGTGGGGCATCCAAGCTCAAATGAAAGTCCTGAGCACAAGAGACAAGTGGTTAATTGTTACTCTGGCTGCCCTTCAGCTGCCGAACTTTCTTCAATCTGGTCATTTCTTCTAGATTTCTCTCCGGCCGTAAATTTCACTTGTGAGCAGGGAATGGGTTCAATGATCATAAGTGATAATGGACTGAGGAATTGTGAAGGCCTCAAAGGAAAGAACGTCACTCAAAATGCAACCGTTGCAGTCGAAGCAAGTGACTATAGTAATATGGCTGTGGATAAACCAAATGTTCGGATGAAATCACTAATACCTTTGATTGATCCCAAGCTGAACAATGCAGAACAGCTGGTTGAGCCAACTTCAGCTAATCCTAAGGTAGATAATTTTTCGTAACAAATATTTTGGAGAGTGAGAGAATCTCAATAGAATATAAAAGGAATTTATCCTCTTCTTTTTTGGTCCATTGTTTCCATTGATTTTTATGTCATCTGACATACTTTCCTTGGATGTTAGAAAACTAGATATCTAGTGTTATGTCTTCTCATGTGTCCTAGATGTTGGCTGCTATACTTGAACAAATGTTGTGTTTATACCTTTCCCTGATTTGAGACTATCTATGCAAATTTATTCGTTGTATTACTTCTTCCCCTGGTTTCTAGTGCCCGGTAGACCACTTAGGTGCTTTAAGAACAATGAAAAGGAAACCCTTGTTGAGGATCAAACTGAAATATATATATATATATATATTAACAATAAAAAAGAGAAAGCCAAATTATGATTTCTTCAACAACATTGGTAATGGGTTTATTTCCTTACGAATGATCTTACATATATTACTTCTTCTATGGTTTTGTTGCATGAAGTTTGCAAAGATTGATATTATATATTCTCTGAAGATCCAACTTTTTTGAGTTAATATTCTCAAGTACTCAGGCTGCATGTTGAGCCTTGCTATCTGCGCAACTTCTTCCAGAAAGGAAAAATATGACTATTTTTTAAATAGCATCCATTCACAAAATATGTCCTTTCTATTTCACAAGAAGCACTATAAAGTCTTCAATTGCTAATTTGCAGGTTTTCTTCTCTGGAACAGAAGGAACTGGTTTATGTGGAGATGATAAATTCTATGACGATTTTATCATGAATGAAATTGACTTAAATATTGGGAACTATGAAGAACTCTTTGGTGTAGCTCTTAATAATCATGAACAGCTTTTTGATGATGATGAGATTGACGGATTATTTGGGATGAGGGACATGTCTGGTGCTAATTCCAACTGTCATGGTGCCTATGCTGCTGAGGTAATTCTTTATACTGCGACTGCTTTAAACTATCAAATTTCTATTGCTGCGTATGACCTACCTCACATTTCTTTAGTTATATAAAACGTTTTCTAATTACTAAGATGCTGATTTTTTTGTTAATTGTTTTAGATATTGAAGTTCAATTATCCATGAGGAAAGATGAGTTGAACAGAGTGTAATGTATAGGATTAGAATTGTTAGGAAGAAAGAGAGAAATCCTACAGGAGCTCTATTTAATGGGAAGTCCCCTATTGAGTTAAAAGGTAAGTTCTACACGGCCATTAAAGCAGCTATGATTTATGGTCTTAACTATTAAGTGCTGGACTGTTGAAGGACAAAATGTGTATGACGTGAACTATCAAAACACTAGGATGATAATCTAGTGCTGAATTGAATCCAGTGGTGGAGAAAGAGAAGTTATGAAAACAATCAGAAGTTTGATTGATACAGCTTAGTTTTTTTATTATTGTTCTTTTAACATGTATGCTAGACGATTCTTCTTTATAATTAGATCAGTGATAGCCAAATGCAAATTAATTATGCGACTAAATAACAGATTGGTAGAACTGGTGTATGAAATTGTCAAATATAATAGAAAACAGGAAAATAGTTCTGGTGTTTTGTGCTTGTTTATCTACTCTAGAATTTCGAGATATCAGTAGAAGAGCACCTCTTACAGACGATGATCCATTTTACACGGATGATTCTTGCTGATGCCATAATTGATTCCAGGAGCCAGTAATAACCTTTAGTGTGGCAACAGTCACTGAAGACAGGTTGAAGTCAATCTTTCATAACTCATTGAAGTCAACTAGTATGACCAAGTATTTCTTTAAAGTGATCGTATACAAAGTATTTCTTTCAAGTGATCGTATACAAAGTTATCTTCTTAGATATTTATATGTTAGGCAACAAATTTGGCATTCACTGTGCAGTAACTGATGATATTGCTTGAGATGGGTTTTAAGGCTGCTTTATTTGTGGATTTGTGTGACCTTCAGGACAAGGATTTTTAATCAAATTTATCAATATAGTTGGACAACAATCGATGAGAAACTATAGGAAAAATTCTGTTACATTATATGATGGAAAGGAAGTTACTGGTGGGCTCGACAGAAAAAATATCAGTACTAGTGCATATGAAGTCAAGATTGTCTAACGTGAGTGTGGGTTGTACTCAGATCCAATTGACAGCTTCACTGTCAAATCATTTACTTTACTACTAAAGACAATATAGCTGGTTCATTTTATTGTACATAGATGGGACTATAGCCTGTTGAAGATGGTTTCCTTCCTTTCTGGGAGCTGCTTGTTGAGCCCGTACTGACAGGTACTTGCAATGCAAGATTGTATATTGTGGTGCCCTCGGGATCGAACTTGGGTTCTTTGGTTAGATAGCTTCTAGGATTTCGTTTGTTCTCTGTCTAATTGTTCAATTTCACTATTTGGAAAGCTTAGCTGAACTTGGCATTGGAAAAAAACTTTTATCAACAGTTCCTCTGAAGACTGTTTTCTTTTCTTGAAAGCTGTACTGTGAGGATATGTTCAATTGGTGATAATCTAAGGAAAATGATTTTTGAATCATTCATATTCTTGCTGTGCAAGATAGACATAGACAGCATTAATCACTCACTGCAACGTAGGGTGGCTAGATACTTACAATCTTTGCATCAGTCAGATATTGTGGGGTCTGGTAACACCATGTACAAAGATAAATTTTCTACTAAGTTATCTTTACATGAAGTAGGAGAAGGGACAGAAATCTCAGAATTCGCCATATTATGTTTCTTCTGGATGCTATGAAATAAGAGGAATAGGAGAGGATTTGAAGAGGTTCCACAATCAATATGAAGTCTCAAAGGCTGATTTTTTTTTTTATTTTTTCTTGTCTCATTTTTCTGGACTCTAGAGACTTCTTCCATTTTTTGACTGAATTCAGGAAAATGTGACATAATTTATCAGGGGGCGAATCATTTGCTCAAAGCCCATGCACGTTACCCCCCTTGATGCTCCATTTCTTTACTTGTAAATAAAGATAAATAAGTTGAGATAGAATGTCTTAAGCGTGTATGTCTAGGTTTTCTTAATTTTTCAAATGATTACGCACCAGAAGATATTGTTTATATCCATCAAGACTCATATACACTTTCGTGATTGTCTTGCTGGCTACTTTTTTCCCTCGAGTATTGTTAAATCCCTGACAATCATTTTTAATCATCTGCATTGAGCATTACCCAGTAAAATTAGGTCGTGTGAAGCAAGAGCAGAGCTAAACAGAAGAAAATACAATTAGAAGAAATTTGACAAACAAAGATCATAGCATTACCCAGGTTTACTAGGAGGAAGGCTTAGTTTCTTGCTTTTGTTACCAAGGAATAAATCTTAATGAAAATGCAATAACATTGCATATCATTTCATTAAGATTTAGTCCACCATAATACTTGGACAAGTATACCTCTTCTATAGATTTAGGGGAAAAGCTTCTCATGCTTCATGTTTTAGCTTTTGTGGGTGCATGTCCAAGGGGATGATAGGCTTATTTAGACGTGTTAATGAATAGAACAAAAAATTAGATATGTTGGGCAACAGATTTTCTTATGAATCGAATTCTTTTCTAAGCACAACTATGCTGTGTGGTTCTTGTGAACAACTGACGTTAATTTGAATTTTGTGAAGTATCCTGATATTTGTATTTTCTTTAGGTTCAAATATTTGACGTCCAGTGTTCATTTTGATGACTACGTCAGTAATAGTAATTGTTTTTCTTAATCATCTCTTCTAAAAGTTTAAATTGTTAGAGATGATCTACATATATTCATTTAAATCGTTCCTTCAACACGCCCCTAACTTGTAGTATTTTTCCCATAAAAGCCTAACCCTTGCTCAAAATGTTCTGTAATTTCAAAAAAATAAAAAATGTTATTCGTGAATGTTGATTTTAATGAAATAAAATAACAGAACACAAATACTCCCGTGAAGCTCCCTGTCCCTCCCAAGTTTATTTCATGAAAAACATATATATTGTTACAATACAACGGAATCCAATTTATAATAATTCCTAATCTAAGGAGAGGAAAAGTTTCCTAATCTAAATAAGGTGAGCAATCAATAACGATAATATCATATAATACACAGGATTTCTACACTCCCCCTCAAGTTGGATCATAGATGTTAATCATATCCAACTTGCAAATAAAATTCTCAAAAGCTGGTCGAGGCAGTCCCTTGGTGAAGATATCTGCAATTTGTTCCTTTGTAGGTACATATATCATGCATATAATCTTGTCTTCAACCTTTTCTTTGATGAAGTGTCTGTGGACCGGATTTAGAGAGATGTTGATGGCCGCTTTGTTGTCGCAATAGAGTTTGATCGGAGATTCTACCATAGCTTGTAATTCTTCCAGTAGTTTCTTTATCCATAGTCCTTCACATATTCCTTGTGCAACTGCTCTAAATTCAGTTTCAGCACTACTTCTAGCTACCACATTTTGCTTCTTACTTCTCCAAGTTACCAAGTTTCCCCAAACAAATGTGCAATAGCCACTAGTTGACCTCCTATCTTCTATTGATCCAGCCCAATCCGCATAAGTAAAGACTTCTACTTCTTTCCTCTCATTTTTCTTAAAGAAGAGTCCATTTCCAGGGGTACCTTTAAGATAGCTGAGGATTCTGTATACTGCTTCTAGGTGGGCTTCCTTTGGAGAATGCATATATTGACTTACCACACTTACCGCGAACGCTATGTCAGGTCTCGTGTGAGAGAGATAGATTAGCTTGCCAACCAGTCGCTGATATCTGTCCTTTTCAACTGGTCTTCCAGTGTCTACTGTTCTACCTATCTCCACAGGTGTGTCACTTGGTTTACATCCAAGCGTGCCAGTTTCAGTTAGAAGGTCAAGAATATATTTTCGCTGTGAAACATTGATACCCTTCTTTGATCTGGCCACTTCCATTCCCAAGAAGTATCGCATCTGTCCCAAATCTTTTACTTCAAACTCTGTAGCTAGGCTTTTCTTAAGCCTTTCTATTTCCACTATATTATCTCCGGTTAGTATTATGTCATCAACGTATACAATCAGGATTGTTTTCGTCCCTGCTTCAGATAGTTGGTAAAACATAGTATGATCTGACTGTGCTTGTCAATATCCTTGATTTCTCAGTACTCTTGCAAATCTGTCGAACCATGCTCTGGGTGACTGTTTGAGATCGTATAAGGATTTTTTTAGTTTGCACACTTTATTTTCTTCATCTCTTCTAGAGAAACCTGGAGGTAAGGTCATGAAAACTTCTTCTAATTCTCCATTCAAGAATGCATTCTTAATGTCGAGCTGTTGGAGAGGCCAATCCAAATTTGCTGCTATAAACAAGATAACCCTGATTGTATTCAGTTTTGCTACAGGAGCGAATATTTCTGTGTAGTCAATGCCATAGGTCTGTGTATAACCTTTTGCAACGAGACGAGCTTTGTATCGTTCTATTGTCCCATCAACTTTGTACTTTACATTAAAGACCAATTTGCAGACAACAAGTCTTTTCCCCATTGGTAGCTCTACCACATCCCAACTTTTATTTTTTTCCAGTGCTTGCATTTCTTCTAAAAGGGCATCTTTCCATTTTGGGAATAGCCGTTGCTTCCTGAATATTGTTGGGAATTTCTGTACTATCAAGGTTAGAAGAAAAAGTGCGAAACCCTGTAAAAAGAGTGTTATATGATACAAATTTTGAAATAGGGTGGAGAGTACATGATGTTTGGAATATTGGGCCTAACTCCACCTAATAAAATCGGCTTATTAGGGGAGGATTGCCCTCACCTTATTAAGTGGATCATTAATATTTTCCCAAGCAATGTAGGATTCTAATACGTCCTCTCACGCACAGCGTGGACCATGCCAAACAATTGTGAACAAATCGATATTGGGTGGCACCCAACATGGCATAATTGGGCCTAGTTCTGATACCATGTTAGGAATATTGGGCCTAACTCCACCTAATAAAAGAATCCCACATTATTTGGGAAAATATTAATGATCCACTTAATAAGGTGAGGGCAATCCTCCCCTAATAAGCCGGTTTTATTAGGTGGAGTTA